TTTATCTATATATTTGATCGTTTATTTATATATTTGTTCGTTTATCCATATATTTGTTTGTTTATCAATATATTTGATTGTTTGTTTATCTATATATTCGTTAGATTGTATACCTATATATTTGTTTGTTTATCTATATATTCGTTAGTTTATCTATATATTCGATTGTATATATTCGTTAGTTTATCTACATATTCGTTTGTTTATCGATTTGATTGTTTTTTAGTTTGTCTATTTGAGGGAAGAAAAGTACATCTCCTTAATAATCTGGAGGGAGGTTGTAGATTCTATTTCATCTGGTCCTGCAACAGCGGAGAGGAACTATCGTTTGTGTTTGTTTATCTATTTGTTTGTTCGTTTGTTAATCTGTTAGCTTGTTCGAGTAAAGAAAATACATATTTAATTTCTGGAGAGAGATTGTGGATGTATTTCATCTGGTCCTGCAACAGTGGACAGGGACAATTGTTTGTGTTTGTTTATCTATATTTGTTCGTTGTTTAAAAAAAAAATTTAGTACAGGGTTTTACGGCGCTCGCAACTGCATAAGGTCATATGAGTGCGCGAAACACAAGTTGGTTGCATTCGCAACAGTTCACTGTACGGTTGGTCAACTATTAGATTTTAAAACGTTAAAATATTTAAAATTCTGTGTAAATATATTTAAAATAACTCTTATAAATAACAATAAAATTTTCTAACAATATTGTTTCACTTTACAAGTTGCCATAAAGGCCAATGGCCTTCATAAAATTCAAAATTCTGTTGGGACCAACGACGGAAAAAATGTCTTGCAATTTCTTGCATTATAATATTTCCTTCGGATCTCTCCAAAGTCTAGACATTCGGTTAAGATGTGTCTAATGGTAAAATCTGTGTCGCATCCGACACAGAACGGCTTCTCATCTCCCTGTAGGAGGTATTTGTGGGTCAGGGCCGTGTGTCCGATGCACAATCGAGTAAAAATGACTTTGTCTCTTCAGGAGAGGTCCGAAGGATTTCGTTGTTTCAGTTTGGGTTTTATAACATACAGTTTATTGTTTTTCTGTTTTTCCCAGTGGCTCTCCAACAGACTGGAGGTTATTTGTTTGTTAATTTATGTATTTGTTTATCTATATATTTGTTTGTTTATCTATTTCAGTTTTAGTAGAGATTTTACTTGCTTTGCTTTCAGTGAAAAAATGTCCATCTATCTTGAAAAGAAGTCGAGATATTTGCGATTGAAAGAGGTGGGGGTCTCATGGTTCTTGAGAGAAATTAGCGAGAAAATGGCCGCAAAAGTTAGATAAGTTGACCTTAAAAACTCAAAATGTACGTATTCTATGCCTTTAATCAACTTTTTTAGGTAAAATTCACATGGAAATGTGCTTTTATATGGACATAAATGGTGTTGAGTCAAAAAACAATAATTCAATAACAAATGCCTCAATCTAGCTGGGGAAAAATACCTGTTACTTCGATTTCATTATTTTGACGAGAGCCTGATTTCATCACAATAACTCCCATTTTCTCTTTTAGTTGAGTTTTAGTAGAGGTCTTTTCGGCGCTCGCAACTGCATAAGGTCATATGAGCGCCAGAAGATTAGATGTGTTACAAGAGAGTAACAAACATAAAAAAGAAGAAGGGGAGATAAGGATGATAGATGTTTGATAGGAAAGAAGAAGCAAACCACACGAGAGCACCCGCCAACCACCCACACATTTTGTTTTTGGGGAGTTTTTTGTTACCTTTAAGCTGAGTGCCGCTACGCTGGGGATGTCTATCTCAAACATGGAAGCCATCTGAACCATCTCAGGGTACTTGGGGTGGGTCACAAGCTTCGTGAAGTTGGGCATCTGTATGGGTTCCCCTTCAAATGGTGCCTCAGTGGTGGTGGTTGTCGTCGTTGTTGTAGTTGTAGTTGTCGTTGTTGTTGTAGGGGGTTGTGTTGTCGCAGCGGGCGTCTTCGGTTGTGGAGGGGGTGGCGGTGGTCGCGTCTCAGGAGCTGATGAAGTCGGTGGTGGGGGTGGCGGTGGTTGGGCCGTCGTGGGTGGTGGTGGTGGGGGTGTCTTCACGGGCTGTACCACGATGGGCTTGGGGCGGGGCTTGGGGCGGCTGGACATCGCGCTCATGCCAGACATCATGGCCGACATCGCCTCCGGAGGGATGCCTCTCATCGTGCAAGACGGGACGGAGAGGAGCAGCTTCTCCATGCTGTCCGAAAAAGGATTGGGAGGTGATTGTGAGAGGAGATTGTGAGAGATTGTGGATGATGGAGTTGGGGAGGGGGCGATTGTGAGAGATTGTGGATGATGGGGTTGGGGGGGAGGGGGCAATTGTGAGAGATTGTGGATGATTGTTACAGATTGTTTGTTTGTTTGAGTAAAGAGAAACACATCGAAACAACACCAGCCATTTGTTTTATTGTTTTAGTAGAGGTTTTACGGCGCTCGCAACTGCATAAGCTCATAATATGAGCGCCAGAAGATTAGAGGTGTTACAAGAGAGTAACAAACAAAAAAAAGAAGGGGAGGACGATAGATGCTTGATAAGAAAGAAGAAGCAAACCGCATCAGAGCACCCGCCAACCACCCACTGACCAAGGAATGGGAGGCGATTATAAGAGATTGTGGATGATAGGTACAGATTGTTTGTCTGTTCGTTTGTTTGAATAAAAAGAGACACATCAACACAATAACAGTCATTTAGTATTAGTGGGAGAGAAAGTTTAAGTTTTAGTAGATGTTTTACGGTGCTCGCAACTGCATAAGCTCAGAAGATTAGAGGTGTTACAAGAGAGTAACAAACCTAAAAAAGAAGAAGGGGAGATAAGGATGATAGATGTTTGATAGGAAAGAAGAAGCAAACCACACCAGAACACCCGCCAACCACCCATGTGGATGGCAGTTTCAGATTGTTTGTTTGTTTAAGTAATGAGAAACACATCGAAAGAACACCGGTCATT